ACCTCCACAGCAGAACCAGAGGAGGACACACAAGAGAACCCCCCCCCTTCGGATCTGATCTGTACCCCAGAGGCTCAGATCCTCTGGATATTCAGTCTGTGCCCAAACAGAAACATGTTTCCACCTAACTCTGATCAGCTACAAACAAACGGAGAGTTTCCAGCTGGAAGTGAAGCAGCTGCAGAGTGTTTTTACAGGTAGCTTCAGGTAAACTCACCTGTGGAAGCAGCAGCCGGCAGCAGGAGGCCCACAGCCAGCAGGCAGAAGCTCAGAGACCTCAGAGCAGCCATTTCCTCCCGCTCCACTTCTACACAACCAGCTCCCAGCTTCAGGAAACACGGCAGCCTGAAAGAGGAAGTGAGGTCTGGGCCAGAGGAAGGCGTCGGGCTCCTCCTCTTATTTTCTACTTTTTCAGTCAACAAAGACAGTAAGGAGTCTTTTGCAACTGAAAAAGTCAGACTTTTTCATTGTTCATGTCGTCTGATTGAAAATCTGGAAAACAGGGGGCGGGGCTATAGAGGTGGGCGGGGCTACAGAGGTTTGAGGTTTCTCTAAGGACAGAACCCCCCCGATCAGGTGACTGTGGGAGAAGTTAGAGCTGGAATGAGGGCAACCGCTCACCTGCATCTCTCGGACTGACAGTGGGTCTTCCAGTTTATCTCCTCCGTGTTCTTGTTGTTCTTGTTATCTATAAAATAAAACCTACCTGGTTGAAGTTATCTTCCCGTCAGCATGAGCTCAGATACACAAAGGCCACAGAAGCTGAGACCCTGGATGGAAAACAAGGACAAACCATCTGGGACGCTCCCCCAGAGTTCCTCTGGTGTCCACAGGGGGCGCTGTGGCTGCATCGAGCCTGAAGAAGCTTTAAGGAAGTGATTGAGCAGATTCCGGCCAATCGGGTCCCTCCCTCCTTCACAGGCACCACGAGGCCGCCACAGCTCCATGTTATGACCCGGAAACAGCATTTAAGATGACCAGTCAGAGCAGAGGAGTGAGAACACGCCATAAAAGGAGAGAAGGACCATCGAACATGTAAAACCCAGAGATAGACTCGGGTTTCAGTTCCTGTAAGGACAGCAGATTCAGAAATGGCAGAAAAAAGAGGATGTGAGGCTGCAGTGAGGACAGAACCAGCTGAAAAGGGAAGTATTCAGCCGGTGCTGCTGGATCTGAATTTAGCTCAAACAACACCCTGAATGAGGCCACACTACCGAGAGGTCCACTTTAAAACTTCCCACTTTGAACCTGCTCTGACAAAAAATAAAGACCCAACAGAAATAACAGAACTCTGAATTTATTCTGTAGTTAAACAGAAATGTCAAACACAGCAAATGCTCTTTTTCTTATTAACAATAAAAACATGATACAGTGGGGGAAATAAGTATTTGAGCCCTTGC